ATTAAAAAACTAGAAATTTTTGATAAGCTTTTTGAAAGCAACGGATTGAATTCTTAAGAATAGTTGTAGTCATTTCTTACTTTTGAACCAGGCTGTCTTAAATAGTAAAAATTCATTTAATTGATGATCTATCCAATTAAAAATATTCAGCATTTTCATAGAACGATGTTATATAATTTTTATTCTTTATTCCATATTCTGTAAAACTCTAATGAATTTTTGTTTAATAAACTCAAAAGATTTGAAAGGAAACAGTGGCAACACTATACGGAACAAAACACTTTTATCTTCACTTTTATCTTGCCTGTCAAAAATACTAAAGGTAGGCTCTTTTTTAAATGTTTTGTGATTTCGTTGTTGAATTGAATTTTATGTGGCGTGAGTGCGGAGAACACGATTTTTAATAAAAAAAGTTAACGCACAAAACGTTAATAATAAAAAGACAAAAAAAAAAAAAAAAAAAAGGTTTTTGTAAGACATCTTACTGAAAAAATTGAACATTGATATGATAAATTGAGAACAGAAAAAATGCATGCCAACACTTAACACTGCATCGGGAGTTCTAAACATATCCTGCTATGCAGCTTTTATAATTTTTGTAATTTTGCTGTTGAATTATATACGGCGTAAGTGCAAAGAAAATAGTGCTCAATAATAAAGCTAAAAAAAGGAGAAGTTAGCAGGAGTGACTGCAACAGCAGACTGGTAGACTGTGAGCTCAGCGAGCATGTAAAAAACCTTAACAAACCCTTTTGTGCGATAGCTAAAATCTCAAAGCTTTCAGATTTTTTTTAATACTGAATAATAAATAACATTTGAAGAGAGGGGAATTCAATAAAGCATAGCCTTCATTTTAAATGTCATTAACTTTCTCTGTTTAAGTTATTTTTTTTAACTTTGATAATTTCTAATATGAAATTTAGCAAGTTTCCATTAATCTATTCAAATTGCAGAAAACTTCAGTTTTTCTGACGAGAAAGTTTACAGAAGGAAGATCCTTTGCACATACTGTATATCCAAGAAGCATTTTCGGAATCAATAGGCATCAGACACTGCCCGGAAAAGCCTTCATTTGACTACAGATTTTTTCAGCTATATTTTATCTCATGCTATGTATGTTATGTAAAACTTTTAAGATACTTACAAGCTAATTTTTAAACAATAACTTAAGCTATTCTATTCGCAAACAGTTATTCTCGCCAAACTCCAAAAATAGTTACTGTTAAGAACAGCGTTACTTCCGCAACGCATATGTACAGTTTTAGATAAATTTTCTCGCGATTCTGCCACTAAAATTAAACCGCAGCTGTCACAAGAAACAAGACTAGATCTAATTGACATCAAACTAAGTTCTTTTTTTTTTAACGTTTCCAATGAAAAAATGTCGGAAAAGAAGCATCGAATTTTTGAGCAGATGCCATCTTGCATTCGACGGATCATCACGCATGAGATTTAGAATAGAACTGAGGCTTGGAGCTCTGGAGAATTATTCTTCAAATCTCGGGGGAAAGGAAATAAAATGGCATGCTCACTGCAAAAGGCGTATTCTTAGCTGTTTAAAAAACACTAATGGGCAAGTGAAACACTACAAATCACCGAACGTAGTTTCAGATAAAACGGCATGGAATTCTTAGCGGTTATTTGAGCCGTCAGACATTTAAGCACGGAAAGATAAAGCCTCGAAATAGAGAAGATGACTGAAGTTTTATACTAAAAGTTTCCATATATTCCTAAAAAAAGTTCATTTATAAAATACGTCGAAATTACAATCAGCGATTATTATCCAAGTTTTATTATCAAATATGTCTTATTTTAGTATAGTCTTCAATCAATATAAAAAACGGAGAAATATTTTTAAGTCCATAAACCCCCGGCTGAAAAGCAGTGTGATTCGTTTTCAATCGCCAAACTCCAAGAAGGTCCCACGACCCCCTGCATTAGGCGCTTGGCAAAAAATTTAGCAGTTTTGATATTTCTTTAACCAATTATAATAATTTTACAATTACCAAATATTTTTACACAATGTATCTGAAAATAAATAATACAATACAGACAAAGAAAAAAGGAAAACGTTTTGACGCATTCTTTTTATACTATTCTTTTTCATTTCGTCTGTTACTTATTTAAAATTTTACAGTGTTCCATGTCTTAAAATTAGAAATTAAAGTTAATGACCTAAAACTACAGTAATATATTACAGTACAAGTGAAAAAATTGAGTTTCACATACGCGTGTGTCGGTTTTGCGCAATGCATATGGGGTCTCACAAAATTTTCGTAAATATTATGGGGTCCTGAGGGTTGCAAAAAACTCTCAGTCATAAAAAGGGGTCGAGATTGAAAAAATGTTTAGGAACCCCTGCTCTAAAGTAATCAAACGATCCCAGACTTACATCCTATTTGAGCATATTTGGCGAGAAATCGGATGTATAATACTATTGAAATTAGTAATACATCAGATAAGTGTTAAACAAAATTTGGACAGAAATCAGAAAACATTTAATTGCCGATGTCAGAAAGAGTAAATCGTGATTTAGAAGTTAATATTAATCGAAAAAATGTTAGGAAGAATTTAAGAAATGCGCTTCTTATTTTCGTTTGATAGTAAATAAGTATGTGATTCCTTTGTGTGAAAAAAGAGGCTCAAAAGAAAAGAAATTAATTTTGCAGATGAATATTTTTTGTTGGAGAAAGTGTTCTGTGACAAATGGCTTAGTAAGCTCACATTTTGAAGGAGGCCGAGTTTCACGTTTCAATTTTATATTTCAAATTTTCGCATTGTTTTTAAAAGTTTCCGGTTATTTCTGTTGTTGTTTCTTATATATTGTCGCGCACGTAAGGGTTCATAATAGATTGAATGCACACAGAACAGATGAAAGTATATAAGATTTATTTTACCAAGAATGAACGCTTTACAGCTGTGAAGTTTTTCTCAATAGTTACACTTTAAACTACTAAGAGCACAGCGCAGTTATAAACGCATCTAAAAGGTGTAGCTCTCACGGATCCGAAGTCGTGTTGAGCTAACGACTGAAAAACTGATGCTCTGCTCGGTCTCGTAGTTTACCCCGACTGCCGAGAAATTTGTAGTACCTTTCACTTCACGAAGCTACTAGAAGGCATATGAGGGCTGGATATGGTTACGATTACGTAAACGATCAAATGCAATTATTAAGTTACAATACTCATTACAGTTACGCAGGGACCGGAGCAAAATGTCGCCAAATGTGACGACCTTTTGCGCTTTTTCGCCAGATTTGGAGATAATAATAAACGTGTCGTAGCACACTGGAGCGAGTGTCTACCTACACCGGAGAGGAATTACTGTGTTACCAGGAAAGAGTTGCTCGCCATAAAAACATTTCCGCCATTACCTGTAGGGCAGAAGTCTCCTGCTCCGCACAGATCATGCGTCGTTAACCTAGCTGTTAAATTTCAACCATCCCGAAGGCCAAACAGCCAGATGGATGCTGAGACTCCAGGATTATGTCATGACTATCCGCGATCGGAAAGAATCGTCAGACGAAAACCCAAATTTGGCAATAAAAGTAGTCGCCCAAAGCATCGCCATCTTGGGGATATCTCATCAATTTAGCGAGACAGGCATTTACTCGCTGTTAAATACACTTGCCCCTGTATTCTTATCTTTTTGACAAAGCGTCTTCTCTTTCAATCATTTCATGTTACATTATACAATAAAATACTACAATTTCATTAAAATTTTTTACATATGTATAAAATTTCCTAACACTAATTTTAATCATTTTCAAGCAATTGCTGGAACATAATAGTTAAAAGTTTGATAAACAATTTTGATTGCTCAAATATTAATTTCTACATTTCTAAAGACAGCACGTGCTGCAAGTTATGCTGTGAAAAAGAGCGCTTTTCCTTAATAATTTCGGTCAATTCGAAACGTCATTTGTTTGGCTTATAAATTTTGTAACTGAGTATAGAAAAGCTAAGCAACTCACATTTCAAAGAAGTAGCATTTTATAGTTTCAGCTTAATATATCTAAATTTTTGATACTTTCATTATTTTAAATTATTTTCATTTTTAAAATTATTTTACATTCATTTTTGCACTACTTTTTTTACTATTTCTCCCATATTATAATTTATTTTAAGCATTCGCTAGAACATGATGTTTAAATATTTGATTTAAAAAATTTAATTGTTCAGACAATGATTTCTACATTTCTAAAGACAGCATGTGTTGTAAGTTATAGCATGCCAATAAATGCTTGCCCTATTTAAGCGTTATTGTCAAAAATTTGAAACAGCTATTGTCTGCGAATTTCGGGAGAAAATTAGTTTAGTAATTTTGCGTATCATCTATGGCATTAAGAGCATCTTTAAAAGATTAAACAGCTTTAAGATTAAGAGTAATATAAACCTATTCACGTCTGAAAATGTTCATAAAAATAAATATGAGCATTATTTACACTAAGTATTGAAGAATATGGTATTCAAAATTTGATAAAATGTAAGCATAAACCACATGATACAATAGACATGGTTGATCATCACATCACTAAGGGGCGATATGCTATTTTTATTAAGAAAGAACGCTCTTCAGTCTTCACCTCGAATGTCATTATAATCATATTATATTTGAATATAATTTCTAAAATTTAATCCTATAAGCCATAAATTGAAACCTTTGAAAGTTGTTTTTCACGTTAAAATTAGACTTTCAATTATCATTCTTTGCGAGCTTGAAAATCATTTTTCATATTTGAAGTTTCAGATTTTTTTACGCTTAATTTTATAGATACAGTAATTATTTGCGTATTTTTCCTGTTAGCTTTTTGGGAAAAAGTTCTGAAATATTTTAAGTGTTCACGTAATTTGCAACTTCTTCAAAAGCTTTCAGAAAACCAGCTTCCCTAAATTTTAAAATAGATTGGTCCATGTGACGGTTATTTTTATCTATCTAAAATGGATCCGTCCATGTAATGGTTATTTTTATCTTACTAATTGCTTTCACCTTACTGATAGGATTTTGGATGCATGGGCTCTGACTGACGAAGCAATAATAACGAAGAACTTGCATAAATATCTCTTGATGATTTTGAAGATCATTGCACGTTAGCAGAACAGACTGAATGATAACTAAGGCGATGGCAATGTTGACTATGGAGACGACTTGCAAGCTGTCGCAAACTGCAAAAACAGCAGATGCAGCAGCTGGATGATCTGAGGCTCAAGGAGTAACAACGGACAACAATAAAAGTGTGTAATATTCAGGATATAGGGAAGTAGAAATCATGATATCTTATTAAATATTGCAATGGTAGTATCACCATGTATTCTTACTGGAATGTAGGTTTCTCTAAATAAGTAATATTGTGATAGTTATCGAGAGTTTATCCGTGAATACATTTCATTTTTCACGTTTTTACTTTAATTATTCGCATTATTTTCCCCAATTATTGGGCGATAAAATAAATAAAAAATGCGCGAGTACATACAGTACTTTTATTTTTTAACGTGCACAATATCGTAATTAGCCCATACAGTTTATATCTCTAACTACTGTGTTCAAACTGATCATAGATAGCGGAAGTAATCATATTATTGTTGTTATTAAGTATGCATATATTCGATTAAGAATGCTTATTTTCAGCTCATTAGCGATTCCTATGTTGTATGTTAAATTATATTGTTGCTGACATTTGATTTTTTTATAATAATCCCTTTTCGCCTATGTACATGAAGAGGCATTATATGTTTTATATACAGTTGTAATTATTAAAAATGTAAGTTTTGATTAAGTATTCCGTGTATAATTTATTTGAATATATCTTAGCAGCAGCATGTTTCAGAAAATATGAATTCAAAGCAGTTAAACACTCTCCCATATTCATCTACTTCTTTTCCCACAGTAGAGTACCTAAAATAATCATATCAATATTAAAGGGTATGGTATATTTAATTAAGGGATGCCTTCATGGAGGACTTTCTAACGGAAACTGGGTAGTATACGGGTTACACATGAGGAAAACCACGAAAACGCTCATGCAGCCAGCCCGTTCGCCGGGGGCAGCTGCCAGTTGACAGTAACTTTGCCGCTAGGCCGTTAGTGGGCTCAATGAAAAAGCTATCAAAATTGCAACTTTGCTCATTTCATTGAGAAATTATGCTTAAAAGCTAAGGAGGCATTTAATTTTACAGAAATATTTTAATCACATGGTAGCTTATTTTCACATGAGAGTTTTATTACTCAGTCCTTTTCAATACAATCGTTTAGCGTATTTCAGAGCAGAGGATTCTTTGGTAATAACAATTAGAAAAATAATTTCCGGGCAGTGGTTTCTTTGGTAAATAGTAATTAAAAAAGTAACCTTTCTCCTTTTATCGACTACTCCTGACCTTACTGATGACGGTATCTCGGCCTTTGTTAATTTTTCTATGACCTGAAAATTTTGTTTTCAGAAAACTAAGGAGCCATCTGGTGCAGATATGAAGAATACGATGCAGTTTGAAGAATCATTTTAGAGTTTAGAACGTTATGAAGTTCTAGGGAGCAAGGCTGTAATGAATAAGATAATCATGGTTGAGAGTATTACAAGCAACAGACGAAACGTGAGTATTTTGATAAAAAATATTAAATCTATGGTCAATTATTCTGAAAAATGCTGAATTGTAAATTAGCGATTGCATAATAAATTAGTTAATTTGGTATTTGGGCTATCTGTGTGAAATTAAACCGATACTCTAAGTGATATCCTCGTGTATTTATCACATAATAGTATATTGTTGTTATGCTGACTTTTCTACATATTTCAGAATTTAATTTGAATTAAAAAATAAAATTTCTTAATTGAAAACTTATTATGTTTTTTACTCTTTAGCAGCAAAAATAAAGCTTTTTAGATATATGTTCAAATACTGGAAAAACTTAATTTTTTAAATGTAATTGCATCTTAAAATTAACATATGATTGCCAACTTTCTGTTCTGTTCCGTCCAAAGCGAAGACAATATGACGCTGTCTCATTTTCTTTTCTTCTCCTTTTTTTCCTCCACCACTAGTAAATCACTGATACCTGATAGGAAGAAACCGAGGCTTTTTAAAAAAAGGAAACACAAGTGAGATATTGTACATCAGTCAGTTTCATATGGGGTGTAATTCTCAAGAAACTGAATATAACACAGTCGCACCTTTTACTTCTCCCCTACATGCAAAGTAGAATCGTGTTACTGAACCACGGAAACAACTTCAAAAATAGCAAATTCGGAGGGAAGCTAAAAATGAAAGAAATAAAAGGCAAAAGATAAACTGTCTAATTCTGTTTAATAACACGCCGATCAGATTAATTAATTTAAGAATAAGCCGAATGAAATTCATTTTGTTCCAGTTGTGTTTAAATGCCTACGTGTGATTTAACGATTTTTTGAAACCGTATTCAAATGTGTAAGAGTATTTGGAGATTTTTTGGAACTGTGATGTTTGAAACTGAGTTTTAATTGTGTCATCTTTCATTGTTAACTGAAATCTAAAATTTGCCAGTGGAGAAGTCTGGTCAGCGTAAAGGATCATAGTTTCTTGTAGAACCGCCTATAGTCTTCAACTTTCAGAACTGAAGTACAAGGGGGCATTCTTTTACACGACAGAGCTTTTTATAGTCTATCAACAGGACTAACCTTGTATTAATTGAAATGCACACTTAACTTGATCTTCATTTCTCTTTCTCATTCCATAAACGTCAGAAACACGAATGCTTATAATAAAACTATCATGAAAAGTTAACTTTCATATTTTGAGCTTGCTTATTTAACCTGAAACTATAAGGGTTAACCACAAAGATAATCGATGTTTAAATTCTTAATTACTGATACTTACATTATTATATTTATTATTAATTACCAATACTTAAATTATTAATACTTAAATTATCGATAGTTAATTTATTAATACTTAAATTATTAACCATAAAAATAATCTATCCTTAAATTTATCGATATTTAAATTTTTTAAATATTTATAATAATAATTCCTATTATAACTTAAATTATCATTACTGAAATTATCAGTACTTAAGTTATTAAATTATTATTTAAATTATCGATACGTAAATTATTATTGACGTTATCGATACATAAATCTGCTGGCGAGTATTTTACTGACTCTTCAATTTCAAATCAAAATACCATATTAAACTAATTAATCCATTGAAAAGTTGGTTTTGATTTATTCAGTTACGGCAAAGGATTCGAGGGCTATTTGCCTAACGGGAACAATGCTTTCGTGGAGCAGTTTCTAAAGGGAAACTGGCTAGTATACGCGTTACACATGAGGAAACCACAAAAACGCTCATGAAGCCAGTCCGTTCACCGGGATTCGAACCCTGGCCTGAACTACCAATGTTCAGTTTCTTTACCGCTCGGCCATTGGTGGACTGATCCATTGGAAGATGTTGATGAATAAAATACATGACAACGTGCATTCATCGGATGAGGTTTATACGGAAGTTGTATTAATCACTTATGGATTAAGCTTTGGCTACGCTGAAAAAAACTTAAAATTAATATCGCTATACAATTACGTAACAGCTAAAGATTCTCAATTTTACAGTTTATGAAAATTAGGCAGGTGAAAAAGTATGTACTACTCTGGTTTTTCTTACAGCTATATAAATCAGCAATCTGTTTGTGAAGTAAAAACCCAGTGCAGATATTTAAAAAGGAAAGTTTAAACTAATTTATTTAAAATTCTATCATTAGCAATCTAAAACGTCGTTTCTCTGAAAATAGTTATAACAATATTTTTTAAAATACGAATGAAGTCATATGTTTTTTTCCGCACATAGATTAGTTTTCTTCTGCTTAATTTGGGACTGTAGTAGTATTAGCAAACCGATTTACCCATAAATCGTGAAAAATAGTCTAAAATTTTCCGACAAATCGATTTTTTAAAATTTGCCAGTAAGTTCTATGTATTTTATTTTTCTGTCAATGTTGCGTGCTAGAAACGGCTTTTCACAACAGTAGCATGAATTTGAATTAAAAAAAGTAATTCATAATGCTCTTCATAAATGAAAAATCTGCAAATCCTTTTAATACCTATAAATTTTAGTGAATTTATTGACTAATTTATTCTGCAATTTTATTGTTTATTATATTTTAGCCACAATACTGTTTTATTATTTAGTATGTTTTCAATACTTCCTTTACATTCGTTTTACAAACGAATATTTCTTTGCGTTTTTAAGCATTTATGTTCATAAAAAAAGAACGCACAAAACTGATGCTATGTTATATTTAATCAATTGAACTTACTTTTGAAACAATTCGTTGTGAGAACCCTAATTTATACATCGTTAAAATTCATTTGAAATTAATATTCTTGCAAAAATTATGTACATTGGTAATTAATTATACATATTTAATTAAATTTTACAAATATGCTACATTTAATGGGAACTTTGAGCCTTTAGGGCAGCAGTCAGTAATTTAAAATTCGGATAAGAATTTTAAAAATGTAATCTCAAGTAAATTACATTGCATTAACTTATTCACAGGATCGACACTGAAAGCAATGACATTGCATAAAATAGACACTGCGTGGACAAGCCATAGAATCGACAGCGGCTTACAGTCGACATGATTTCAAATAAATTTTGACAATAGAACAATAAACAGTACGCAAATTAATGCCTATTTATTACTTGCACAGAATCTTCACAGGCATACGGTGGCTACTGTGTAAGATGGACTTTGTCATAACATTGACGCAGCCATAGATCAGACGCTACGCAGAATAGACACCGGCATGGAATGGACGCAGCATAAAATCGACACAGCATAGGATGATACCGTCATACAACGAGCTGCTTGGGGTTCGGAGTTAGTTTCCTCGGGGTAATTTATCCAGCTAAGAATAAAAGAATCTGATTCACATGAAGTTTTGGAACAAAATTTTTAATTAAATTTTAAACAAGACCTGGATTAGGTCTAGACCAGAATGACAGTTCCGGTTTGGTATTATGACCGGAATTTATATAGCTAGGATGTCTAGGGCCTATTATCATTATCATACAGTGTACATTGGCACTGCGTAAACAAGGCAATATCTAATGTATTAATCTTTAAGTAAAAATTAATTAAATTAGTTTTACAGTACTTTTTAAGGACAATTATTGTTGCAGGATCGACACCTTCAAAGAATCGCCATCGGATCGAAACCAGTTTTTTACCTTCATGTCAATCGCGTGCCAGCAGAAAAGGTGTTCATCCCATATTGTGTTGATCCTGTGCATTCACATTGCACGTTTCGTTCAAAACTCATAGAGTACCAAGAATATGTTTTAAGGCTCAGGGAAAACATTTTCGTGACTTCTAAACCGTGAATCAGGACATTTAGGCACCCTAAGCATATTTGAAACAAGAATAGTTTCTTGGGTTTTTTTTTCTTTTCTTAAGTAAACTAAGGGGCAAATGATAAGGAATTACCCAAAACGAACACAGGTGTTTAAGGAAGAGCGAATTCCGAGTAAATGGTAGCTGTTGTAACTTCGTGACACTGTATTTATTTAACCGCTCCTTTTGTTAAACCTAGAAACGCCCCGAAGAAAATATTTGTTCGCTACCGAGAAGGCCAGAAATGCCTTTTGTTTTTTATATTTGAAAGTGTAAGTAAAGCAGCAGGAGTTAAATATAGCTCATCTAAGACGCCCAATTCTATTTCCAGCCATTTTTTCCATCAATTCCAAAGAAATTTAAAATAAAAGGCACGATTTTAAATGTTAATTAAAGGGCCCTATTCTACCTTAAGGTAAGGTTGACTAGGCACCTCATATTTTGATCTAAAGTTGCTGTCGTATAATAATTGCTTATTTGTATGTAATTTTCACTTTAATTTGCCATTCTTAGTATGAATGACAGTATGTGATGGAGGGAGGCACAAACGCAGACATTTCATTTTCCCCAAATCAATGACGATGTAAATTTTGGAAAGCCTGTTGATATGGTATGCCATGCAGTTAAAACTAAGGAAGTTTGAAAATATCAACATCCCTTAGTTTTAGATATTATGAGGAAGAAAAGGAAATGATGCTAAGAAATCTCAAATGATGACGTTATATAACTCATCTAAGATCCGTATTTTATCCGTACAGTATCCGCATTTTTTTAACAATAAATTGAAGCACATAAAGACCTCGCCTGTAATGTTTCAGTCTTACCCAATTCAGCTTCTCAAGGAATCTGTAGTAGTTAATGAAAAGTTAAGAATATAAAACCAATATTTGCAATGTATTTCTTCTACGTAAAAAAATTAGTAAAATTCGCAGCGTTAACTAGCTTCCGACATCAGCAAGCAATGATATAGGGTTTTGCTCAGCTTTCTATACTGCTTATCATGAGAAAAATCGGAGTCTGACTAGCATAAAATCTCATTAAATTTGTTTTTATTTATATCAACATGATATATTGAACTGTTTTTTACTTTTATTTTCCTCAATATATATTTCTGTAGTATTTTTTACTAAGAAAAGACAGCAGAAAAAGAGATAGTAAAGACGTATTATTTATTGGCATTTCTTTATTATTTGATCCACCAAAGGCCCAATGATAATGTCGCTT